TATAACTAAAACATCTTTAGAAGGAACTTACAAAACCTACAATCCATTTTGAGGGAGGAAGGGGTAGTGTGAGTCATGGGGGTGGTGGAAACCCTTTTAAGAAAGACAAAGCATTTTTTATTTATTACTCTCTGGTAAGCATTTCTCTGTGTCCTGTTGTGAAAATGGTATGTAATGAAGGCATAGGCAGGGGATGGTAACACCTGTAATGGGAAATAATGTCCATTGCTGCACCTCAACCCACTGCCGCTGATATTTTAAAATTTGTTTTTTAGACGGGTATATATATATATATATATATATATATATTGGTATATATATATATAGATAAATATATATAAATATATATATGATATATATAAATAGATATTTACCATCGTTGCCATGCTTGGCAGGCAGGTTGGCACCTGCTTTAATTGTTATTAGGAATTTGCTGCTGCCCATTTCCTATTTGTTTTCCTGTCACCTTTTATATCACTCCTAGGACAATATGAGGCAGTCAATATTCTTACAGTGCCACTACAAGGTGATTATCTGGCTTACTTTAACATAACACAAGTAGAGCCAGAAAGCATCAGCAAATGTACAGAACATCTGGTACTGAGATCTCCAATCAGGCCTCAGTACTCCTCTGAGGCTACACATCAAGAAAGTCCATGTCAAAAATGTCTTTAGCAAAAACATTAATGGAATCTAGGCTTTACATTTATTTTAAATACTAAATATTTTAATTACATGGAAATATTTTTTAATGCTCGCAATAGAACCTAAATATTTATTGTTATGTTTTTATTTGCAGTACTACATTATGTCTATCACCATGTCCTGCACACTGGCTTGGATGGCATCATCTATTAACAATATATTCTTGTTATATATCTTCTCAATTGTGATACTCTTATGGCCTGGCGTTCAACACAGAGGAATTTTCAACACATTACTGTCATTGGTCAATATGGCACCTAAAGTACCCTCATTGAAAACAGAATGAAGTGTGGCCATTTGAAAAGCTTAATATTAAAAGATCAATATATTATTATGTGATATGAATCTGGTCATTACCATTTTAAGCTTAAGCTTAGCATATTTTTGCATTGTGAGCTTTAATTGTTTTGTTAAATTTTAAAGCGAAAGTATAAGTATTCTAGGCTATTTTTAATGGAGTTTAAAAACAGGAGGATCTTCTTATTTTGAAACAATTTTAACATTTTAAAGTAGTCACCTTAATATGAAATTTCCATAATTTAGTAGAGCAACAACTTTTTTACAAGTATGTCTTTGTAAGTTTTATATATGGTGGAGCCATTTTGCAGCTATATTACCTATAGTTGTAGCACAAATAGGTATACATATTATAGGTATAGATATCTTTTTACTTAAAAAATCCAAATTTAGTCCTCAGGGGTTACAATGCATTTGTATTTTGATTCTTTAACATGGATAGATGTAGATGCCTATGGGCCCTAGCATCCACTTACCGTCAGGTGTACTGTATGCTAGTTTGTCACTATTATTCTATAAAAAAATTGTAACGTCAATAGAAAAACAAATTTTTAAATTATATTACTTAGCAGAGAGCTTCTTGAAAAATGTGTGTGTAACAATCATATTTAGAAGTTAAGGTATGAATTTATTATGATATTGGGCATTGCATCACCTAAATCTAATTAACTAATCCCATCACATTCAGGGTTAACTGGTAGAAAATGCCAATTAGCATATAGTCTGCTCTTTGTAATCTTATATTTCATAGGGTTTGCAATAAATATTAATAAAGGCTGCATACATATTTCTTAATATTTTTTCATTTCATCATTCATTCCATCCATTTAGATAAATACTAAAAGCTTGAAAAATAACAAGTACTTTGATCACAAAAATGCCCATGTAAAAGTAATAAATCAAATATATAAGGGAGAATAAAATTCTTGAACAGATATACACAGAGTAATGAAGAGATATAAAGAATAGATATTTGGATCCATTCATTAATCATGATCATCATGAAAAACATAACCCTTTTTCACAATGTATTAAAAGATGGCTATAGGTTATACATATAGGGCTCATGCGCATTGCGCACCACCATTTGTCAATGAAATTCAGTCTGCCAGCAATTTGGAACACCAAATTGCCAGTTATTCCTATAAAATTTTCCTCGAAAATTATTTCAAACTGCTTTCTTTCATCTCGTGTTTGCACTCAGTACAGCTTTCTTTATTTTTTCTTCTTTAAGTAACGTTTGCAAATTCAGTAAATAGCTGCAACTACTTCCACCTCGCAATGGTTCTTCAACCGCAGATTGCGGTTGCGAAATCCGGTTGGCGCTTAAGGATGATGCGGTCAGCCGGACGGCTAGCGATTGTTCATATGAGTCCTTACAAAAATTTCATAGAAATTCGTTCGCTAGTTTTTGCGTGAATAGTGTCTCATCATTATCTAGCCCTGTATGGAAACAAAAAATTAAAAAAAGACTATGTTTAAAAGTTATAAGCGTCGAAAATTCCGAATTTCAACACTATTTTTAACACATCTTTGGGCGGAAATAAATACCATAAGAAGAACGGAAATTGCAAAACAGTTACCATACAGGGATAGATTAGTTGTTCAAAAATGCAAATAATTTTATTTTGAGCAGATACTCTCAATAGATTTTTCATGATATCCAGACTCCCAAAGGTGTGTTTATAAAATTTCGCGCGCTCCTTTTTGTTGTAAATCATCTTGCCTTTCGCTACAAATTGTTTCCCCGATCAGTTGGACGGACGGAGGGGGGGCGCAGCGCGTACCCACACATGCTCACTAGGTTAGCCGCTGCTATCTATTTATGGTTGTAATACCTACATATCTACATCTTTATTTAGAAATAGCTGCTGCCCGCGACTTCGTACACGGATGATGTTGCTTATGCCAGCGACAACGTGGTCGTCAAAATTGAAGATCTGAAACGTCTGATGTCAAATTCTAAGAGCCCGGGGACGGTAAAACAACGTGATGCGCGAGACGATTCGAGAAGTTCCAGATTTTTCATTTTTGTAAGTCAACACGAAATGCCCATCAGACTAAACAACTTTTGCTAAGACGTCATTCCTATATATGTTATAATGTCGCTGGGCTTTGGAGTTCCGCAACAGGTGTTCCAGATCTTCAAATTTATTCTCATAGCAGAAAAAACTCTTCACGTGGAATATTTTTGCTATGGCACCATTTTTATATCTCTTATACTTTCTTATTTTCTTATTTTTTTCTTATTTTTTTTTTAACGTTACCCCTACACTAGGATTTTCTCCTGTATCGCGGGGGCAGTTTACAAACATAAATTGCACAAGGACAAACATCCAAACCCGGAACAATTATTTGTAGGCTATACAAATACTGGTTCCGTGCGGGATTCGAACCCGCAACTCCCAGCGCAGCCACTCATTGCTAAGCCACTACGCCACGGAGTCGTCAGCTGGTCTGTTGCGGTTCTGCATCAGGTGTTCCATTTGCCAAAATAAATTATAGCCTATATGTTACCTAGACTTAACACCTATACAACAAAAAACTTTTCATCCCGTATATTTCACCGGTCCGGTGCGGAATGCACCGGATTCCAAGGGTACACTGAATTAACAATAATATTGCAAATCACTTTTAAAAAAATTATATATAAACAATAGCTGTACCCTTGGCTTTGCCCATGTTCTCGGTCACGCGCAAGTCGTATCTCATGCTCTTGACTGCTCTCAAGTGATCGAGCAGTCTCAGAGCGGATATTCTGAAAACTCAACCTCTGATCCCTCTGTGTAATAGTTTCGGATGCGCGAGGCAAAGAATGACGATCCCGCTCGATAGCTAAGCGCATTCCTCGTTGTTCCACACTTTCCTGAGATCGAGAAGCAGTAGTGCGGACTCGTTTAAATTCTAGTCGTAATTGGCGCTGCGTGCTAGTTTCTGCGGGCAAACTTAGTGCATTACGCTCGCGGTTAGCACCTAGCCGTTGTTCACGCTCTGCGTGGGTTCGAGAGAAACTAATGCTACTACTAACTAACCTGCGCATCTTAGAAACCCTTGAGTTGCGAGACAGATTGGATCTTTTTCTAAAAGGCATAGCTAAAATTCCTTCTTAATCCGATACTAACAAATAACAATATTCAAAACAATTAAAAGTAATCGAATAAGTACGTAAGAATTGCTAGTAAGTAGAAAAATAATAATTATTCGCAGGAAAATTAAACACAGACAACAAAGGTAACCCCCGTTTCTGCAGGATGAGAACGGACCATCGGCACCTATAACATCATTTTTTGGGAACGAAACCATAGTGCTATCTAACTCGACACCAACGCCATCTAGTTAGTAAACGGAAACTACATATTATTTACCCAAATGAATTAAAACTAAATTGTAGTTAATTTAATAGACAAGTACATTATTTTTGCATTAAAAAAATATGGTAACAGCAGCAAGGAACAAAACTAAGAATTACATACTTAATTATCTGCAACAAATGTGCTTGGTAAGATATTACTTAGAACCAAAAGTTTGACTTGACTTCATGATAGTGTAACTTGTTGTACCTACCACCAATCAATCTGTTTAGTAATATTGGTGTGAAACTCTCCATACAATTAGATAGGACATGTAAAGTTCTCAGATTTCCTATTGCACATAAAAAGTGCAAAAGTTAAACAAAAATTACGATTTTTCAAAACGATATTATGGGATTTAAACTCGCACCATTTAATGTGGTAAACGGTCACCTGACCTTACCGCTAAATTCCCCGTTGACATATTGATAAACAGCTGTTCCCTTGCAATTTATAATATTACTGCCCCGCTCCTTTATAAAAATAGCGTGATTATTATGTTCCCAGAGTAAAAATTTTATTTTAACTAATAACATGTCATTTTGTGCATTCAATTACAAAGAAAAACGTTTTAAAATCAATACTGCTTACCTCCTATAACCGCCGATTTTGATAGATCACTTAGACTTTTCCAAATTATTAAAGGACATGTTAACTTTGAAAGCCGAAATTGAAGAAATAAAGTCTACGTATGCTACCCAAGATAGCGTTGACAAACTTAAGTCGTCAATTCTTCGCTTACAAAACGACCCACTGCCGCCACCGGCGTCGGCGTTTAAAATCAATAGTAAAACAGGTGCTTTTCTAGACAGTGGCCCTATGGGTCTTTCACATGATTATACAGTAAACAACATAAATGATACTACGGGTTTAATATCTCCCATGTCAGAGCTTAGAGATGTGAGGGTAACGCAAGATAAACAAACGGGCGTCAGCTGTAATGCGGGGCCTGAGTGCTCGCCGTCGCTGCCGCAGCTGTGTCGGAAGGCAAGCGCGAGTGTTACGGTGACGTCAGACTTACCGAGCTCTGCTACTGAGGTTGTGAACCAGCTGACCGCTACTGATAAGGCAGGTTTTGTGTGCGTAAAAGGACATAGTCAATCAGAGCAGCCGATCATCGTGCGTGAAACTCTGACAAATGAAAATAATAAAAAGGAAGGATGGCAGACAGTAACGTATCACAAAAAACCAAGAAATTATAGTTATGTCGGCAAGCTGGTGTAGCCAGAGATTTACAGTGCTCATTCCGGGCAGCAGATAAGAAACTTATTATGTTTATTACGAATCTGCATAACTCTGCAACGGAAAGCGACATAATAAAACATTTATAATAAAACTCAGGAAACCGTGTCACTAGAAAGAATAAATATGAAATATGATAGAGGGCACAAATCTTACAAATTTTCAATATCAGAGGTCAATCTGCCAAAATATATGGATGAAACTTTATGGCCTGAAGGTGTCATATTTCGACGTTTTGTGAGTTTCAAACACAGGAATAAGAACGGTGCGCGCCCTATTCGCGCTGACGGCATAGTCAAACCAAATAATGGATAGTCGCCCCATCGATTTACATTTAACTGTAAAATTGAAACAAACACAAGACCAGAATTGTCATACGTGTGACGTGATATGTCTTCAGGAAACTTGGATTATGAATCATGATATACCCTTTATTGGCACGATCGATAGCGGTTTTAGTTATGTGGCGACATCAGCAGTCGATACGTCTGCTGGCATCCTGCGTGGGCGCCCCTATGGCGGCGTCGCGTTGTTATGGCGATATAGCGCGTTCCAGCAGGTGACAGTTCAGGTATTTGTGCAGTTAAAATTATAACAAATGATAGACCCGTAATTGTGATGAGTGTATATTTGCCGACAAACGCTGTCGACAATTTACAGGAATTTACAGACTGTTTGAGTTCGGTAAGCGCTATTATTGACGAATATGGAATTGAATCTGTGTTTATCTTAGGAGACTTCAATGCGGACCCGGGTGAGTTGTTTTACAGTGAACTTGTTAGTATTTGTAATGACCAATTATGGTCATGCATAGATGTAGATATGCTAGGGCTGGAATCTGGTACTTTTACTTTTATTAGTGACGTCCACGGGTCCAGCAGTTGGCTGGATCACTGTGTCACAACTTTCGCGGCGAAGCAGGCTGTCGTCGGGGTAGATGTCAAGTATGACACTCTTTGGTCAGACCATTTCCCACTTATAATTAAGTGTAATTTAAATTTAATAAACCCTAAGATCTCTGCGAGCATAATCAATTTTAACAAAGACGTAGTATGGGGTGTAAAGAGTGCGGAACAAATCACAGTGTATGCTAAAGAGTGTCATAATAGGCTAAAATTGGTAGACTTTCCTTCGGAGTGTGCAAAATGTGCTGACCGATTTTGTAATGACCGTGGCCACTGGTATGTTCTGGATAAGCTTTACTCTAACATTGTGACTGCTCTCCAAGGCGCGGCGACTTTGGCGAGTCGGAAAGGAGCGACGGGGGGACGGGGGTGGCCCGCGCATAGCTGGGTGGAACAAACACGTCAGTGAGGCTCACAGAGAGGCCAGATCTAAATTCAATGACTGGGTATTGTGTGGTAGCCCCAGGTCAGGTTTTCTTTACAAAGAAATGTGTGATAGCAGAAGAGTGTTCAAGTCCCGATTAAAATGGTGCCAAAATCATCAAGACCAAATAAAGATGGACGCTCTTGCTGTGAAACATAGCAAAGGAGATTTTCGCGGCTTCTGGAAGTCCACCAGTAAAATAAATATACGGCCTGGCCTTCCTGTGTGCGTCGATGGCATAAACAATCCCAAGGATATTGCAAATCTTTTCAAGAGCCATTTTTCTGTAAAGTCTCTGTTGGATCCGGTAGTGGAAGTGTTCAGCACTACCTGACACACAAACAGTGGGGACTAGTTTCCTGGCTAAAAGCGTAGTAAAAGTTATAGGAGATATGTCAGGAGGCATGTCCCCGGGACATGATGGACTTAGTGTTGAGCACTTGCAACATGCTGGACCTCACCTAGCTATGGTCTTGGCTATGTTCTACTCTCTATGTGTGAGCCATTCCTACCTGCCCGCGGATTTTATGAAAACCGTGGTGGTACCTATAGTGAAGAACAAAACGGGTGACCTGACTGACAAGTGTAACTATCGGCCTATTTCTCTTGCCACCGTAATTGCAAAGGTGTTTGACTCCATGATAACCAGTTCGGATTTCGTCCTCGGTTATCCACTGAAAGCGCCATATAGTGTCTAAAGCAAACCGTCAAATACTACACTGATCGCAGAACGCCCGTGTACGCGTGCTTCCTCGACCTATCCAAGGCATTTGACCTGGTGGCATATAACCTGCTGTGGGGCAAGCTGCAAAGCATAGGCTTGCCACAAGAACTTATCAGCATGCTCCAGTACTGGTACGCAAACCAGGCCAATAGTGTCAGGTGGGCGGGGGTAATGTCGGATCCGTATCGGCTTGAGTGTGGAGTCAGGCAGGGTGGCTTAACATCACCAACCCTATTTAATCTTTATATCAACGGGCTGATCGTAGCGCTTAGCAGTCAGCACGTCGGCTGCCACATTGACGGTGTTTGTGTCAACAATCTAAGTTATGCAGACGACATGGTGCTGCTGAGTGCGTCGGTCTGCGGCCTGAGGAAGCTGATACGGATATGCGAGGAATATACATGTGGCCACGGATTATTGTATAATGTCAGGAAGAGTCAATACATGGTGTTTGAGTCCGCTGGAACGAAATGTCCTTGATAGTATACCTCAAATAAAATTAAATGGTGTACCCCTGGAAAGGGTTAAACAGTTTCAATATCTGGGGCATTTCCTCACAGTCGACCTGAAGGATCACGCTGATATGGATCGGGAACGGAGGGCGCTGTCTGTCAGAGTTAACATGATCGCTCGTAGGTTTGCGCGGTGTTCAAAGGAGATTAAGGTTACGCTCTTCCGAGCGTTCTGTACATCGCTCTACTCGTGCAGCTTATGGGCTAATTACAGTGGGAAGAGTTACAGCGTCCTCCGCGTCCAATACAATAATGCGTTTAGGGCGGTGATGGGGCTGCCTCGATTTTGTAGTGCCTCTGGTATATTCGCGGATGCGCGCACCGATTGCTTCAATGCCACCATGCGCAAGCGGGCGCGTCCCTGGTGCGCAGAGTGCGGGCCAGCTCCAACACTGTCTTGGCGATGATCTCGGGAAGGTTAGACTGTTATATTATCCGGCATTGCTGCGACAGACATGTCGCAGAACAGTTGCCTCTGAGAAAGTTTTGATTGATCTCGTCTCCTGACTGATAAAAGTGTGTTTCAATTCTGTTATTTATGTATTAACTTTATTTTATTTGATTAGATTATTTTATATAATGACATTACTGCTTATTGAAATTGACTGGATGTATTATTTTAAAATTGTTTATTTTGTTGACATTGATTTATGTATTGTATTGCTATACTTGTGGAGATTGATTTTAAATTCATTTATTGCAGCACAGTTGCCTCAGAGAAAGTTTTAATTATTGATCTCCTCTCCTGACTGATAAATGTGTGTAATTCTGTTATTTATTTATTAATTTTAATTTTATTTCAATATATTTTATATACTGACATTACTGCCTATTTACTTTGACTAGATCTATTATTTTAAAATTGTTATTTTGTACTGACATTGATTTACTTATTGCTTAATTTTGGAGACTGATTTTAAATTCTTTGATTTTACTGGATATGGGTGTAGTTTGCCTGAATAAAGATGATTATTATATTATTATTATTATTATAACATACGGCGTGATAATATGTAGTCTAAAGCCTTCCTTGGTTTACAAAGAACATTTTTGCTGAATTTCAATTCAATCTATCCAGTAGTTTTGGCGTGAAGCCGTACCATACACACAGACAAACAGACAAAAATTCTAAAAAGTCACTTTTTGTCATCAGTTACGGTTTTCTAACAAAAGCAACTTATGTTTTCTCGAAAATACTCAATGTACAGTTTTTCTTTCGTTACTGTTTTATTATATGTATAGAAAATTGCTTCCTTTTGTTCGTGTCTACGTGCTGAAGCCGGGATGAATATAGCTGGTAAAATGTACCCATAAGTTTGTTGAAGCACATTTAGTTAAAATTGAAAACAGGTAGGTACATAATAATGAACTTTCGATACAGGTGGTACATTAGGTACTTAACTACTTTAATTTGCCAACTAACGAAAACATCTCATTGATAAGCACGATTGTCGAAAATCTTAAAATTATCTATAAATTAGAATAGGTAATTTATAGATTTTCGACAATCTTGCTTACGTATACGAATCTCATATCCTAATATACCTAATGTAATTTATGTAAATACATAAGAATCTAAGAAAGGCAGTCAATGATAAATAAAATTTGTTTTATAAGTTGTTTTTTAAAAAAAACACTTTAACAACAAAAACATGAAACTGAGAAGAAGCACCCGATCTGCCGAAACAAACTCAGAGAGGTCAGTCCAGGTATTACATTGGTCATGTCATACGAGAACCAGGCAGGTGGCTAATGGTCCTTTGAAGAAAGAACCATACAGATATGAGTGGACAACTAAGTACTTTTTAGGATTCCGTACCCGAAAGGTAACCAGCAGGGCCCTATTATAAAGCCTCCGCTGTCCGTGTGTCTGTTTGTCAGCGGGCTGTATCTCATGATCCGTAATAAGTAGGTAGATGGTTGTAATTTTCACAGAACGTGTATTTCTGTTGCCGCTATAACAGCAAACAGTAAAAATAAATTTGAAATTAAAGGGTTTCCTACTAGAAAAAGAAACGTGTATTTTTGGCTTTTTTTGATCGATAGTAATATGTATATTAAATCTTGTAAGATGGTACGGAAGCTCGGAAGTCGGATTCGCACTTATTTGTTTATATTTAACCTTACCTCAGACATACTCATATTTTTTATATATAATTTACTAGACTACTATATAAGCTACTACTAAATAAAATAGTAGTAGCTTTGCTATGGTATTATAGTATATATTTTGGTTTAGATGTAATTTATTACAGGATAATACGAACTATATATAAATTAAGGAGCGCATCAACCTACCTCAGACATTAGGTTATGAATACAGATAAGTACACATAGGATTATAGCCTTCGTTATCAATAGCATAAACATAATTTTAAATGCTGATTTACCACGTCAAATATCTAGAGGAAAACCGC